CTCCTGAGCAGTGGGTCACGGAGGTTTGCCAGGGACCTGCCTCGGTGTTCCCCGCTCCTTAAGTATCAATGCTCTGCAAGGGTAACTGCTCGTCCCGAATTGTTTGCTTCATTTGCAGTCACATAGGTCTCATTGCTTCAAGAGTTACAGCAAAACCTAGTTGGAAGATGTTTCAAGTCATGGAAAGCCCAGGGCTGGATAGAAACCCCAGAATTTCAGACAGAGCGGGGTGGGAGCTTCCCAGCGCAGGAGAGGTAATTCTGTTGTACATCTGCTGGGTGCTTCCTACGACCCGTAAAGGGGAGTGACCCAAGATAAGAGCTGCAGTTTTGGGAAGGATGAATAATGACGGTTCCAAGGCTGACTGGTTCGATGTGCTAATCCAAAGCAAAGTCAGCCTAAAGCAGACCTGCTGAAGGCAAAACAAGTTTCTTACTGAAATACTCAAATGTCCTCAGCCTCCCCGAGCTGCGCAATCTGCCCTGGTTATCCCAGGTTTTTTTCCCAGCTGTACCAATGGATTGAACATCTATACAAGCTCCTCTACACTGAGCAGTGAGAGGCTGCTGAGAGCACTGGTATGAAATTCAGACTCCAAACTGTCCATCTTAATTAAACTAGTTCTATCCACGAGGTTCAGCGGTCGGTCATGGCATGTGGGAGATTTACCCCCAGGTCCTGGAGGAGCGGGAGTAAACCCAAGAGCAAAATCCTCAGTGACTTGGGATGACAACTGCGTTCTTTAAGACTGAGAGCTCCTGGCAGAGCAGTTGCCTTGCCAGCAAGCTGCTGTTAACAATATCGTTTTTATTCCAGGGGCCCAAATCTGCCGTCTGCGAACCTGACTGGCTTTGGCAATTGATTTCAGCAAGGCCCTTGATTTTCACTGACATTTGCTTCGGTCAGTCACGGCTGCCTGCTCCTTCCCCATCCCTCCTCCCCACCGCGCAGCGGCACCCCCAGAGCCTCCCCTTTCGTCCCCATTTACAGAGCAAGGTGAATTCCTGGCTTCGCAATCAGAAAGGCAAAGTTTGGCATTCAGACAGTGAGGAAGGACTCGGGAAATCTGGTCCGGTGCCTGTGTCATCTTCGAGTTGCTGCATGATGGTGCATAAATCACTGCGTTCCCCTGTGCCTCAGTTCCCCGGCTGTGGCCAAGAATGACGGTAGCCCCTCACCTCGGGGGAATGGGGGATATTAATTACTGTTCATAAGATGCTCAAATGTGGCAGCATAAATAGTAAACATGTCATTAGTGTCCTTCTAAAGATAACTCATCTGCAAATACTCGGGTCCATAGCCTGGGACTGGAACTGGGAGCTCCCCTGGCTGTTACATAACTGCAGTGGGGCTTTTTTTTTTTTAAGGAATGGGTTGGTTTTATTACTGTAGTTATTTCATAAATAGGCAACACATCTGACTAGAAAGGATCAAACAAAAATAAATGCCTGCTTAACCCAGGCATATGGAAACTAAGCGTTATTTTAATTATATTTTTGAAACAGCAACCTCCTCTCTTTGGCCCGAAGCTTTCATAATTCAAAGGCAAACACTGCCCTGATTTTCTCTTTTTCCCCCCATCCACAGCCCCTTTGCCTTTGCACTGGTGAATTTGGGGCTGGCAGGTATCTCCTGATTGCAGTTCAACCGATGCTTGCTGAGGTGAGACATGACGGGGGGACGCAGGGATGCCGTATGTCTCACCTCTCCCTGGGGGGGAATCTCTTTCCCGTGGGAGGCTCTGCTCTCCAGCAGGAGATGTTGCTCTTTTGGCTGACCCACCCAATGAGCAGCAAGGCCACCGTTGTACCTGTGCCATGCCACCTTCTATAATCCTACATTTTGATCTCCGGTTCAGACAGTCGCAGGCTTTGGGAGCTGGGGTTTGCTCTGGCTGCAGCTGCAGAAGATGCTCATTAGAAACGGGAACTCTGCGGGCACGGGAGCCTGCTGCTAGCAAGGCCATGCCGTGCCTGCCCCTCCAAGCAGGCTGGCAGTGCTGCAGCGTCCGACCACGAGCAGGTCCCACAGCCGGCCAGGGAGCAGCTTCTCACCAGGGACACCCGATGCAGCATGAGGCTGTGGGGTGCTGGCACTGCTCCTCTGGGAGGGAAGGTTTCCAAGCCCTTACCTAATCCCTCCATCTCTCCCCTTTCTCATCTCCCTTACTCCTGAACAATTTTTAATAGAAAAGTGAAGCAATGAAACCACAATGAAATCATCACAGTTGAAATCAAGCTTTAGCCTGAAGCAAAGATCCAGTCAACGTGTATCTTCTGGAGGACCACCAAAACATACCCCGTCAGCTCCCGGGGCAGCAAATCCTGCAGGGTGCCAGCGACTCAGCTGCACTCACGGATGGACGGGTGCACCTCCCCGGGGGGGCACAGGGGTGAAGCTCGTAGGGGGGTGCATGTGCACCTTGCAGTGGGGTGCAGGGGTGTAACTCCGAGAGGGGTGGGCATTCGGGTGCCTCCTGGCAGGGGGGTGCACAGGTGCACCTTGCAGGAGGAAGAGGCACGGATGAAACTTTCCGGGGGGAGCGTGGGCGCACCTCGCAGGCAAAGGGGCAGCCGACGCTTGCAGCGGGGTGCAGTGCCCAGGGGGCTGCACAGGCGAAGCCTGGGGGGGAGGCACTGCTGCACCCCGCAGGGGCAGGGG